CGTTTCTCAGTTGAGACACTGTTTAGCCTTATTAGTATACCGTGTCCGGTCATTTCGGATAACGACATCTCGCCTAACATCATTCCAACTAATGACATTTCGCGTAATGCGCGTCCAAGAATATTAGCTTCAAGCATTCAGCAGTTTTCCGAATCAATTAACCCTACTTTCGAATGTTTTCGGGGTTGTTTATTGCGTAATCCAATTGCAGAAAATAATCACAATGCATGTGAAAAAGATCAGTTTCGGTGTGAGTAAGGCTTTTGCATTCCAAAAACATTTATTTGTGATAGCATTTCTGATTGTTTAGATAGCTCTGATGAACCAATTACTTGTGGTTTTTTTTTTCTGTTACTGAAGAATTACTTTCTTAATTTGGTTCTTGACTGGGCGTGGTAGAGTTTGAGATCACTCGATCTGATGGATGTAGTGTTCGTCGGGGAGCAATTTTTTGCACGGGGGGGTCCCCGACGGGGACCCCGTTCCCCGACGAACACTAGATGGATGTATAAAGGGTAATCAAAGAAGTTCTATGTTTCTAATTCACATATCGATAATCTCTTCTGCTGCTCGAGTGCGTCGTTGATTTTCCCACATTGCTTTCTAGACGAAACGCGTATATCTTCTTCGGACATTTTAAACGACATTGATGAAACATTTGTCACCGTATTGATCAGGGAAGGACTGCGGGAAAGAGATATATTCTGGCGTGGGTGAATTTAGTTTATGTAATTTGGTTAGTAGGGATAAGGTAATAAAGCTGAACGTTTTCAGTGTGAGTGATGCATTCGCATTAGTTGATTATACTGGGAACGTGGTGATGAAATTTCAAACTTGAGGTGCTTATGACGCCCTGATCTTAGATGAATGAGGAGGGAGCTAAATCTTGGTTCTGGTCGGTGGGTAATGGAAGAGGCAAATTTTGAGCATCAATCGGTTTCAGTCAGATGAGAATGGGAATTTATGCAGGTAATCGCATATTTCCGACGATTGGACTTATGCCGATGAATTCAAGAAAATTTTTTTACTTGCAAAAAATTGAAAACGCAACTCTTGCTCCGCAGAACTGTTCCCAGCTTCGAAAATAGCATATCATTCGTTAAAGCTGACAATGAGGTGGCAGATGATTTTGCTGTAATGATACCTAAATACAATTTTTTGTCAATGTTTTGTAACAATTCAGAACATATCTCTAATTGTAAGCTTACCGGAAGCTATTATTAATTCAGTAAACTTATTCTGTTCGTATGTACTCAAGTACAGCTGAAAGCAACAAGCTTTATACACTGCAAGCTTGGTTCACGAACGCTTTGGTTCCAGAATAGTTTGGGTTAAGAGCAAAATCTTCGGTAAAAATTTGATTCCGTGCGGACACCGCATCACTTTTGAGCGATTTTCGGGAATTTTTCATTATACTCATAAACAGCATCAGATATATGAGAGCGATATCAAGGGGATTTTGATACTTTCTTAGCAGCCTTCGAATTACTGAATAGCATGTATCAATTGTTCAAGTCATTTTGAGTAAGGACGCAATGTGAACAGTGTTGGTGAGAGGGTATCTTTAACAAAAGTGAAGCGATCGTTTCATTTTTAATAAATTCGAAACTAGAAGTGATCAGCAGTCAAGTTTCATCAGAGGGGTTCTAGTGGAATAGCAGTCAAGTTCGCATGGAAGATTTATGAAAATTTGAAGACGACGAGACAATTCTCTTGAGCGGTTTTCCGAAATTTACTAACGAAGACGACTCTGATTTCGATCAGCCATTCTGTTCCCACTCTTCTGTCGTCACTAACTATAAGACTGCTGAAATTCCACAAAGCCAATGAAAATTTAGAGCAGGAAAATTGGGCTGGCTAAAGGGAGTTAGCTATTTTTCCATTGACTGTAACGAAAAACAGCGCTTCAGTTTATCAACGAGTTGTTGAAAAGAATTGGCTTTGTGAATTGAGTTTGCACATCATGATTATATTATTTGTGATCATTTTATATCAGGGAATGATTATTTGCGGTTAGCAGAGAACCGTGAGTCTTTTGTCCTAGTTCATGATTCCGGTAAGACATACAACCAAATCTGACCTATGACGAATTTCTCGGTTTTATCTGTCATCATACATTGGCGCTTACCTTCACACTCTATATTTTACTTGAATGCTGGACGAGTAGGCAACATTCATAACTTATGGCTGGTCGCTGTCACCGTCCGGGTGTTATCTATAATTTTTCATCGTGTTCCCATCTCTAACTGACAGCTTTGGACTCCGCTGGATTTGAAGTAGGAGAATAAAGATAGCTCTAACATACATGATATTTTTAACACATGTAATAAAAGTGTCATCAAGTTTTTTGGTAATCTGACAAATCCTCATCAGCTAACTAACTGAATTTCGACCTCCGTCCGCTTGAATTATACTTAGCTTCACTCTTACAGCTCTATCTTCAGCTTGATCCTTAAGATCAGGCTCAGGCGTACAACTTTTGTCTCAAATTCGTTTCCAGATTGCTAGTTTTATGGAACCCCACAGTTCGGAGCTAGTCTGCGATTAGGAACTCAGTTTGTCAATAAGACTATTGACATTCTGCGCAATCGATCAAAGTTTACAGAGCCGGTTCACATACTAACTGAATTTTTCATTAGAACCACTCTCTGCTTTAGTCCCATTTCGCTTTAGTCCCATTTCTCAACTAATTTCTTGTGTTTTCTTTTTTCTATTCTCAGTGAATATTGCTACGGCGGAATGGCTACAGAGTTGTCGGTGACAGTGGAGAATATCACTCTATAAGCAAACATTGATTAGAAGCGTTCAGGCGGACTGCATCAGTAAATTAACGCAACTTGCGGCGTTGCTGGGTGACCGGATTGCGGTATCGTTGAGAGAGTAAACCACTGCCTCCTCGAATGGAAGGACTGCGGCATCGGAAATTCTCCGTCCCCTAAAATCTACGATTCTCCCCGTCCCCGACTTTTTTCCTTCCCCGTACCACAGTGCTTTATCGGTAAGAGGTGAATCAATAACTGAATCGTAGTAAGAGATGAGAAGTATGAGTGTTCGAGACAGTTTGATGAGTAGCACAGTGTATCGGAAACTAAAACAGCTGAAAGTTGGATGACGCGTAGTGCTAACTTTATTTAGCAAACGATGAAGTTCTCAATGTTATTTCGCTATAAATGAAAAATTAAATTAATAAGCTTGTGCGTATTCAGATCGAAGTGGAACAACAACGCTTGCTATTTGCAATACTCAGAGACAATTTAAAGATGTTGACTGCAGCTCTGTTGGACCAGTCGAAAAAATTGGTTGCCTGATTTATCATGAGATGTGTTCACCGAAGACGACCCCTAAAGGTAAGCAGTTACAACTGTTTATCGACAATCTATCACGTTTTCGTATTCATGAAAATGCATGGGCAACGACACAATACAACTGCTTCTTAACCTATGCTGGGGATTGATTCTAGGCATGAATTTCACGTGAATAATCATGGTTGAAAATAACACTATCAATTAATTGGTTGTAGGAGGGAAAAGATATCGGTAACAGCGTAAGCAGCAGTAACACTTGAGAAAAAATAGTTTCATTTGAAAAATATTGAGGAAGTCAACGAGGCTTTCAATATGCCCAGGCCCGCATCACATACTGACTAAAGTTTTTATTGAAACCATTCTTTGCTTCACTTTCATTTTTGGGCGAATTTCTTGCGTTCTCTTTTTCGTATTCTTAGTGAATATTGTTGCTACGGAGGAATGGCTAGAGAGTCGTCGGTGATTTTGAAGAATGAACACATTGTAAGAAGCCTTTGATTACGAGCGTTAAGGCAGACTGCTTCAATAGATTGACGCAAAGTGCGGCGTTGTTGAGTGAACGGATTGCAGCATCTTTGGAAGAGTAATCTACAGCCTCCTTGAATGGAAGGACTGCAGCATCGAGAATTCCCCATGCCCTAAAATCCCTGATTCTCCAGGCTCCCAGCTTTATTATCAAGTTTTTTGGTAATCTGGAAAATCCTCACCAGTTAACTGACTGAGTTTCAGTCAGTTCATTGTCAGGCTGTCAATTTTAAATTCATTGTCAGGCTGTCAATTTTATGGAACCCTCACAGTTCCAAGATAGCCTGCGATTAAGAGCTTAGTTTGTCAATAAGACTATTGACATTCTGCGCAACCAGTCAAAATTTACAGGAGGAAAAATTGGGTTGGCTACAACGAATCAATTCATTTTCCATTGGTCATAATGAAAAACAGTACTTCAGTTTACGATTGAGGTGTTGAAACAAATTGAATTCGTGAACTGAGCTTACAGTTTTTAAAGATCGTAATTATGAACAGTCTCTGTCAAGACATGCTTATCTGCGATTAACAGAGAACTATAAGTTTATAACTGCGATAAGACATGCCCTCACAATTCGAGGCTCGCCTACGATTCAAAAAAATCCATCTGGTGATCAGAAAATGGAACTCGGAATTAATTTTGATGCGCGAACTACAAGGTGAATAAAAATTTCCTCATCAAAATTGTATTCTATCCCATATCAAATCATTTTTATACTTGCTTTGACAGCATCCTAATAGCAACGCGTTCTACGTACTTTCATATCCCCTAATAATCTCACCCGCGAACTGCTGCGACCTTGTGTGCTTCTGCTTTTCTGCCTCTAGCGATCTGTGACCCCAGGTAATTCCGTTCTGCTGCTTCTCAGTCTTGAAAAGGAGCCTTCTTACCAAGATTGTGAGAGTTACAGACCATTTGATTCACTAGATGTTTAAGTGCGAGTGGAAGAAGTCAAAAAATCCAAGTGAATGAATCCTTATAACATCTTGCACAAGGAGTTGATCCATACATCGAAATTAAAGGGAATGGAGATCGAGTACGAGTAATCTGGATTTTTAAGATGCACCACTTTTACCCAACATTAGTGTGTCAGAGTTTCGCTGAAAATTATCAATGACTTCAATCGTTTGTCGGTTTAAGGTAAATCAATGACTGATTCTTAGTCAAAAATGGAAAGTGAAATTGTCCGATACATTTTGGTGAGTAATGTGGTTTATCGGGAATTACGACAATTGAAGGTTGGATGGAGCATATTGCAGACTTTTTTTATGAAAAGAGAAGTTTTTGTTGTTGTTTCGCTACAGATGGAAAGTTATATTTCTAAGCTTGCGTGTATTCAGATCGAAGTGGAACAGCAACGCCTGCTATTTGCAGTACCCACACATACTATAAAGGTGTTGACTGCAATGGTCTTGGAGGAGGCAATGTACTCAGTTGCAAGATTTATCAAGGGCTATGTTTACCAAAAACGACCACTACAGGTAAGCAGCTGCAGCTATTTACGTTGGACAGAAAACATTTTCTTTTGCCTTAATATCTCTGGATCGTGTTTGAATCAATAATTATTTGTTTGCAAAATAAAGGAAAAAAGATGCAGCAGAGCTTGCCTTATTTTCACTTGCCAAGCGGGAGTTGTACATTGTCGGTTTCTGCTTGACCAGCGATTTCCTTCGATTGCTGTGTTCCCAAACGAGTTCTCTTTCATGTCCTTATGCCTATTTCCTCAAACATGGGTGAATAAACATTTATCAAAAAATAAAGCAATACAACGAAGCAAGAACATCACACACAGGATATATACAATGCCCAAAACATACCTAAATGTTATTAGAGATCATATATAACGTATTGGTTCTGATTTCCATTTTTTTGATAAAATACAAATCCAAGGTTCTATATGATATCGAATAGTGAAACCAAAAAAATGAGATCGTTCCATTTGTTCAACATTGATATCATCTGAAGAGGCGGTTCCATCTGGTCGACGCACTTCCTGCGCTTCCCCCTCTCTCCCGGGACAGTGGAACATTTATTCTGAAAAGGATATAAGTAATGTAATGATAACCGTTTTAAATATGTGGCATATTGCATCAACTGAATTCATGGCATATTGCATCAACTGAATTCAAATTTGGTGGTATACTTGGATATGTTTAATTTGATGTAAGGGTTTTCAAGGAATGACTTAACTTGTTTTATCGATGGAGCGATGACTATGTAATGAGGCAGGTCATTTCACGTGGGTATAACTGTATTACTGAAGAGATTTGTTGGATGTTAAGATGAAAGTGAAATGAGTTGAAAAATCAAACTGAATGAATCCATACACCATCTTATATAGTGTGCATAAATTTTGGTCCGTACGTCGAAAATCAAGCGAATCGAGACCGAGTATGATTAGCTTCGATTCGTAAGGCGTATCATTATTAACCAACAACATTTTATCTGTAGGCTTTCGCTGAACTGACTGAGTGCGTCTGATCAGCTTATCGGTCTGGGATGAATCGGCAATTAAATCAGAAATCAGAAGTAAAAATGTTCGATACATTTAGACGAGCAACATGGTGTATCGGGAAATAAGACAGCTGAAAGCTTAATCAAACATAGTGCTTACTTTTTTTATCAATTGATGAAGTCTTAATGTTAGTTCGCCATAGATGAAAAATAAAATTTATAAGCTTGTGTGCATTCAGGTCGAAGTGGAACAACGACGCCTGCTGTTTGTAGTACTTTTAAACGATTTAAGGAAGTGGACTGCAGCTCTGTCCACTCAACTGATGCAATTGGTTGCAGGGTTTATCAACAGCTATGTTCAACGAAGGCGACCTCTGAAGGTAGGCAACTGCTGCTGTTTATCAACATTCGATCAGGTTTTCGTATTCGTGAACACAGTGTTGACAATGACGCTATACTGTTGCATCTCCACTTCTGTTATGAACTTACGTAGGCTCCCGTAAATAGTCATGGTTAAGGATAACATTATTACTTGGTTTATCAGATGTAGGGGAGGGATGATAACAGGAAAAACATAAGGAACTGTAACATTTCCGAAAAATTGTTGCCGGTTTCATATGAACAGCATCGAGAAAGTCATGGAGGCTTTCAAGATGCTTACGACCGTTTAAAACGCTAAACAGAGCTTTTATTGGAACCATTTTTTGCTTTCGTACCATTCTTGAGCGAATTACTTGCGTTTTTTTAAATTTTCGATGAATATACGCTACGAGGGAATAGCGAGAGAGTCGTCGGTGATTGCTGAGTATGATTACTTTGTAAGAAAACTTTAGGGCACCACTGAGAGAATTGACTACGACGTCCCTGAATGAAATGACTGCGGCTTTGTTAACCGAGCTGATTACAGCGCCGCTAATCGAGTAGTCTGCGGTATAGGTGAGTGAACGCCTGTGTTCCTCAGCACTGAACAATCTTGCAATGTTTAGCATTCTAATTGTTTGTACTTTCCGCCGCGGATAATACGTGCGCTCGTTATTGCGCCGAATATTGTGGAGTTACTTCCTGTCCCCTGTATGGAAAACTTTTATATTTTCTTCGTCTATCTAGTCAGTAATTATTTTTTTTTGCACAATGAAGAAAAAAGAAGTACTTTAGAACAGATTGTCCTATTTCCGCTCGCCACACGGGACTTGTAGATTGTCTGTTTTTGCTTGACCAGCGATTTCCTTCGATTGTCCTCTTCACGATAGACTCGTTATTTGCGTCTTCCAGCTATTCCCTAAAGCATTAGTTCTTGACCGGGCATGGTATAGTGCAAGACCATTCGGTCTGTTAGATGTTAGGATGAAAATGAAATGAGTCGAAAAACCTAGGTGAATGAATCCATATAACCCGATATAAATGTTAGTCCATTCATCGAATTTCAAACGATTCGAGACCAAGTATGAGTGATTTGGATTCGTAAGTGTATCCCTTTTAAAAAGTAGTAGCCTGTTTGTGGAGTTTCGTTGAAAGGATTCAGTGCGTTTGATTAATTTATGGGTCAGAGTGAATGAATAACTGAATCGTACTGAGAGATGGGAATTACGAATGTTGGAGACATTTTGATCAGCAACACGGTGTATGGAGAACTAGGACTATTGAAACTTGGATGAAGCATATTGCCGACTTTTTTTTAGCAATTGATGATGTTTTCAATGTTATTTCGCCATAAATGAATAATTAAATTATTAAGCTTGTGTGTATTCAGATCGAAGTGGAACAACAACGCCTGCTATTTGCAATACTCACAGACAATATAAAAATGTTAACTGCAGCTCTGTTAACTCAACTGATGCAATTGGTTGCAAGCTTTATCATCGGCTATGTTCACTGAAGACGACCCCTGAAGGCAAGCAACTGCTATTGTTTATCGACAGTCGTTAGGTTTTCGTATTCATGAACGCACCGTTGACAATAACGTTATGCAATTATATCTCGGACTATGTTATGAATTTATGGTAGGCTCACGTAAATAGCTACATTTGAGGATATCAATACAACTGCTATTATTTACCGACAATCAGACAAGTTTTCGTAGTCGTGAACACAGCATCGGCAATGACATAGCACAGCTGCATCTCAACTTATGTCGTGAACTGGTTGTAGGCGTAATTCTCGCGCAAACACTCCTTGTTAAAGATGAAATTATTGCTTGATTCATTGGTTGTGGGAGGGACATGATATCACGAAAAGGAGGAGCAACAGTAGCGCTAAAGAAAAATGCTACCGGTTTCGTATGGAAAATATCGAGAAAGCCAGCGAGACTTTCAAGATGCCTACGATCATTTAAAACTCTGTCTAAAGTTTTTACTGCAAGCCATCTTGCCTTTCAGTCCATTTTTGAGCGATTTCCTTCTGTTTTGTTTTTTCCTAGTGCGTCGAAGGAATTAGCTTTATTTATGCAATAGATATTATTTCTGTTGGCCATTCGAAACACGTATATTGTTTATTTCTGCTACGTCAAACACAAGATATGTGCAATGTCCAAAGAATTCTTAATAAATACTAGAAATCATATATGGTGCAATAGATATCACGCAAGTACTAAGTATAATTTCTAAGGAGATACAAATCCTAGGCTTAACATGCTATCGAATATTAAAAACAAGTAAATGACTCATCACTTTCATTGTTTATTATTGATATCACCGGAAGATCTAGTTGGCGCACTTCTTGCGCTCCTTTCCCCTCCCCATCTTTCGCCTAGAGGGTGAGACATGAATCATGAAAAGGACACAAATGGCGTGATGATAACAGATGAAAAGAAACGGCATAAACGGCATACTGGATCAATACAATTGATGAAGTTATCGATGTTTCGCCATAGATAAAAAATTGTATTTATAAGCTTGTTTATTCAGAGCGAAGTGGAACAACAGCGCCTTCCGTTTGCAGTACTCTTGGACGATTTAGAGATGTTGATTGCAGTGGTGTTGAGACATTTGAAAGAATTCCTTGCGCGGTTTATCATCAGCAATGTACACCAGAGACAACCCCTAGAGGTAAGCAGCTACAACTATTTGTCGACAATCTATCATTTGAAAAAGCATCGGCATCGACGTATTCATGAAAAAACATCGGCATCGACGCAATACAGCTGCTTCTTGGCTTATGTCGGGGATTGATTCTAGGCATAAAATTCATGTGAATAGTCGTGATTGAAAATAGCAGTGTCAATTAGTTGGCTATAACAGGAAGATGATATCGGTGAAAAATAAGCGACAGTAGCACCTGGGAAAAACTTTATCGGTTTCATTTGGAAAATATTGAGGAATTCAGTTAGGTTTTAACATGCCCAGGAGCGGTCCACACACAGACTAGATTTTTCGTTGGAATCACCTCTGCTTTCATTCCATTTTTGAGTCAATTCCTTTCGTTCTCTTTTTCAATTCTCAGTGAATATACGCTACAAACGAATAGCGAGAGAGCCTTTAGTGAATGTGAGAATGGTTAGTCCAGGCTCACTGCTGATCCTCAACCTCAGAATGAGTGCCAGCCTGTATGGAAAGTTTAGGGCATCGTTGGAAGTAATGATATCTCTATTCCACGTTTTTGAAAAGTGTTCGTTTCTATTTCGCTCCAAAACGCCTTTATTCTGCTCTATTCTATCCTTTTCTGTGGGTTCCTCGTTTGAGACTGTTCTATTCTATTTTATTCTACCCCCTTGATTCCAATGGAAAATCTAGTCTGTGTGTGGACCGCTCCTGAGCATCTTAAAACCTAACTGAATTCCTTAATATTTTCCAAATGAAACCGATAACATCTGTCATTCTGTTCGGTCAGAAACTGATGCACGGCTTCTCGTACTAACGAGTTCGGAATGGACTGATTCATTCAATCGGACTCAAATTCTCCGAGTATAAATTTTCATTGGAGGCGTAAAATGTGAAGAGTTCCTGTGATGGATTACTCTTAGAGTTTAAAGTGCGACCAACAATTGAAAGTGGGTCCCTCATTTGGAAACACAATTGCATCCTTTAGTTGTTTCTTGAAGAAATTCCCTAAGCAGTCTTTGGCAGTTTTGAGAATTAACTGCGATAATTTGGCTTTGATAAACAGTTAAATAACACTATTCATTAAAGTATTATTAATATATGTTAACAAACAAAATACTATTAGTTTAAAAATAATAATAATGATAATAATAATAATAATAATAATAATAATAATAATAATAATAATAATAATAATAATAATAATAATAACAATAATAATAAATACAGGATGTCGCAATTTAGTATTTATTGCTTTACGTTTTAACAAATGATAACTGAATTGTCTGTTTTACTGCTGTTGGTCTGAATATTTTGCTTATTGTTGTTAATACTTTAATTGTTTTTGCTGTTACTGTAGCCATTTTTAATGTTTCTTTCGATTACTTCGCTGCCACTCTTCTTGTTACTGTAGGTGTTATTAGCTATCATACGTTGGTTCTGTTATGAACATTGTTATCATCAGCATTTTATCCAATTTCGATATGTAGAGCTGTTCTAATGACTGCGACGAGATTAATATTCCCAACATGTTCTGAATAGTTGCTTCTGACAATATGACGCGTCCATTAGGCAGCGCATTAGACGAACTGTCCGTTAGACAAACCGTCCGTTAGACAAACTGTCCGTTAAACGAGCTGCTCGTCAGATAATGTGCCTTTAGATAAATTGTCGTTATAGAAATGTCGTTAAACAGATTGACCGGGTACTATTCAGATGAGATCAATCCTCTCAATAACAGAGAAACCAAGGATCCTTAATTAATGAGGCTTATTCGAATCCTCTGATTATCAGCCTGAGCGTAACCCTGGCTCAAGTGAAGTCACAGCGTGTTACCGCCGGGGTCGAGCCGGAATGTATGTTCACTGCTGATAATGAACATGGGACCGTGCACCAACCTGGGCTCTGCCTTACACAGAGCATGACACTGATCTTAGTGAACAACTGCTTCTTTGTCAGGATCGACCAGCACTGAGCAAACAGAATCCTCATCGCCACTATCCTCCACTATCTCAGATACGACAACGGCATCAACAGTATCCACCAGTGTGGATGAGACCACAAAAACAACCGCTACGGAGCAAACAACGTCACCAACAGCAACTACTATGCCAACATCATCCGCATCAGGGACATTCGCCAGATTGGAGGCGACAACTGCTTCTTTGTCAGGATCGACCACTGCGGAGCAAACAGAATCCTCATCGCCACTGCCCTCCACTATCTCAGATACGACAACAGCATCAACAGTATCCACCAGTGTGGATGAGACCACAATAATAACCGCTACCGATGAAACAACGTCGCCAACTGCAACTACCTTGCCGTCATCAACAGCATCAGGAACATTCACGACATTCGAGGCAACAACTGCTTCTTTGTCAGGATCGACCAGTACGGAGCAAACAGATCCTTCATCGTCACTGCCCTCCACTATCTCGGATACGACAACATTATCTACCACTGTGGATGAAACCACAAAAACAACCGCTACGAAGCAAACAACGTCACCAACAGCAACTAATATGCCAACATCGTCCGCATCAGGGACATTCACCACATTCGAGGCGACAACTGCTTCTTTGTCAGGATCGACCACTGCGGAGCAAACAGAATCCTCATCGCCACTGTCCTCCACTATCTCAGATACGACAACAGCATCTACCAGTGTGGATGAAACCACAAAAACAACCGCTACGGAGCAAACAACGTCACCAACAGCAACTACCATGCCAACATCATCCGCATCAGGGACATTCACCACATTCGAGGCGACAACTGCTTCTTTGGCAGGATCGACCACTGCGGAGCAAACAGAAACCTCTTCGCCACTGTCCTCCACTATCTCAGATACGACAACAGCATCAACAGAATCCACCAGTGTGGATGAGACCATAATAATTACCGCTACCGATGAAACAACGCCGCCAACTGCAACTACCTTGCCGTCATCAACAGCATCAGGAACATTCACGACATTCGAGGCAACA